AAAAAAAAAAAAAAAAAAAAAAAAAAAAAAAAAAAAAAAAAAAAAAAAAAAAAAAAATCAGAGCTCAGTGGTCAAGCCAACTGATCGTCCAAACCGAACAAGGCTGCAGTATATTGCGGTTAAGTCGGGGTTAAGTTGGGGTTAAGTTGGGGTTAAGTTGGGGGTTAAGTGGGTTAATTTGGGGTTAAGTTGGGGTTAAGTTGGGGTTAAGTTGGGGTTAAGTTGGGGTCAACCTTCTGTGCTTGGAACAGTAAAATAACTTTAAAGTTTAAAAATAAAAATAAATAATGTGATGGGGAAAGGTGGGGGAACAGTGATGAAGCTAATGTGGCTAGCACACATTTGTCAAAGCACCGAAGCTAAATCTCCACATGATGCCGACTATCGACTGAATGTGGTCCTCAATGCACCCAGATTCATCCAAGAAAATACTAAACAGTTGCGCCAAGCGAAAAGACCAAACACTTCTCCGCTCATCCAAGGTTTTCCTCGCTATGAGATGCCGCCAAATTCTCACAGGTTCCACTCCTGCCACTCTTAGGTCCTCCCAACCTCGTTTTTGACTGAATGTGGTCATCGTTGTGCCCAGCTGCATCCAAAAAAAGAACACTGTGTGTGTACACTTGTCCGAACCTGAATCGAGCCTTCTTCAACTGACGCCTTTTATCCATTTTTCCTGCCGGGACCTAAGATATATAATAATACCTTTCAACAAGAAAAAAAAGGAAAAAAGTTCAAAAAACTTTAAAAAAGCAAACAATTTTTTTAAGAAAGACCCCATCCACAAGCCTTCACCTTACACTTGTCCATCCTGCATCCATGAAATCCATTGATTATTAATTTAAATAATAAATATTACATTTCCATTAACAGGTCGGCTGCAAGAGGAAAAAAGTTCAAAAAACCCATGTCCTTCGGGACATCCATTACCATTGGAATGATACAGAGAAGGAAGATTAGCATGGTCCCTCCTGCGCAAGGATGGCACGCATAAATAAAAAAAATGGTCCAAAATAATTTAAACAAATAAAACATTTAAAAAAAAAAGGTAACAGGAAAAAAAAAAAAAACGATAAAGGTCGCCCCGAAAAAATTAGGAAAAAAAAAACGAAGAAAAAAGCTCAGGAAGTAGCGTCTGTTGGACGGATCACGTGCATGAAGGCCTCCGCAACCGAGCACGTGCACTTGCAAAAGCCTCACGGCCGACCGAGCACATACATAGATAGAAAGCGGGGCTGCATGCCTGCCTGCAGACGGTCCTGTCGCCCTGAAAAACATAGGAAATATATTTCGACGCGACTCGCAGCTGTTGGACGGAGAGCACGTGCGCGCGGAGACTCCGCAAGACCGAGCATGCGCACTCGCCAAAGCCTCACGGCCGTGCACATGCACAGAAAGCGGCCGCATTCCCTCCTGCAGACGGTCCTGTGGTACGAGCATCCTTAAAACGAAAAGACACTCCTCCTCAAAACCCCCCATCGACACGACCATAAT